GCCAGGGGACTTGCAATGACCCCAGCCAGTTCCTTTAGGACTCTAGGGTGAAGATCATCCGGGCCGGCTGACTTAAAAAAGTCCAGCCCCTCCAGAAGCTCCCTAACTAAATCCTCACTCACTCAAGTGATATTCACTGGAATTCACTTTGTCAGAGAGAGGGAAATTTAAGGCTCCAAGAGTCTTATTTAGTTTTCGTTTCACAAAGCCTGTTTATTCAGAAGCAAATGAGATTTTCTCCTCTTATCAGCACTTTAGCTCCCTAATCTTCTGGGGTTTGAGTCTCATCCTAGAGCTATTTTCCCAGTAGCCAGGGAAAAATTGCAATAGTTATGAACTTCACACAGTCTTAAGTAGACTAAGTAAAATGCATTATATGTGTAAGAATACCCTTCATTACCCACTTATAAAAAACACCTACAGTTCTGAAAGGTTGAAATTATGATAGTTTGGCTGGGTACAGCAGTAGCATTATGGAAAATAATTTTAAAGGCACTACACCTACGCTACACTATACTTTGTGACTTGCATGTTACCTTATGGCTGTTACACAAGCTTTTAACATTAATTTAAATTATGATGCCGGAGTATATAAAATGTCAATAAAAACAAATCAGGATTTATTTTTCACTGCTTCCTTGTTCTGCCCTGCCTCCATCACCAGCTTTTACTTTTTCAAATTTAATTTTCTATATCACAGTGAGAATACTGTCATGTCTTTCCTCATTACTAATTTCCCATAGAACATTGGTGCCAGAGGCTGGCCTAAATTCATTTTGAGGACAAGACATAGCCTGGAAGTTGAAGTACTGTAAAATGACTCTAACAATCTGAAGTTAGATCTAGGCTTTGCCATCTTCTGTGTTATCTTGAGCAAATTTATTCTCAGTGTATCTCAGTTCCTCATGTGCAGGGATCCTGGTTTTCTCTGTCTATAAAAAATTCCCAATTTTTGGATAAAAAAAGGTAACCCAAAATTCACATTTTGCCATGAGTAAAATGAAACACCACTAATGTATCTATACTAATGGTGTTTCATTTAAATCATGGGAAAATGTGGATTTTGGGATACTTTTTTAAATCTGAAAATTGGGTTGTTTTTTTTTAGTAGAGAAAACCAGGATCCCTGCTCATCTGTTAAACAGAGATAACAATTTTCTTTCTCCCAACCAACCTTTGTCCTACCTAGTACATGAAAGGCTGATTCTTGTACTTTTACTCAATTTGAATAGTAACTTATTCTGTTAGGAAATACTCATGATGTAAGTTACAAACTCAATAAAGTTTGCTGGGAGAATAGGGCTCTGATATTTGATCTCTCAGACATACAAAAATCCTGCCTCAGCATTTAAATCATTGAGACAAAAGAGTGCTATGAGAATTTATCACAGTTCTTTGATTTAGGTCAGTTTGCAGTGTTCTGGAGTTGGTAGTGTTTGGGTGGCCTTGTGCTCACTAATGGTCTTGGTGTTCAGGCTGCTGAGGTCTATGTGCTCCAGGAGGCCAGTGCTAGCAAGCAGCCTTCTGGGCTATGTCCACATATGCGTGGACACTTGGTTCCCCAGGGACAACTAGCAACGGCACACTTTGTACTGCCACTAGTTGTCCGCAGGGAATGCCTGTGCCACATGCTCTCTGGCACGCTGCAAGTTATTCCAGGTGGAATGGGGGAGGCTGGGGCCAGCACTGGAAGTCCTAGGAGGGAGTCCTAGGGTCCTAGCAGCTTTATCTGGAGTTCTAGGGTCCTCCTGGGGCTGCAGCAGTGGTGATCCTGCCACGCAGAGCCTGGCCAGCAGCTAGAGCATGGCTCTGGCTAGCCCAGCCCAGCCCTGGTTTTGAGTTGGCTTGCTGCCCTTGTGTGCACTGCTCCACCATTTTTTCCATGGGATTTTTGACCCCTGTATGTCTCAGGGTCATAAAAAACCCTTGCGCTGCTACCTTGCAGTGTGGAGAGCAAACAAATGTGCAGTATGTGGCATCGCAGATGTGAATGGGCGCCACATATCGCATGGCTATGCTTGTCTGGACGCAGCCCTAGAGTGCAACACAGAATTATGCAAAATTCATGTTTGGTGGTGAAAGCTCAGAGATGTTTATTGTGACATTAGCTGCTCTGTTTAGCAGTTAGCCCAATTCAGTAAAACTTCTGGGACAGGGTAGCAACACCTTGCATTAATTACACCCCCTACATCAGTAAAAAGAAACACATGATGTGGCACTCTTATTTGTGCCACTAATACCCAAATGTTCATGCCAATGTTTATCTATCCTTCTGTCCAGATACCCATTTGTTTCTTTGCCAAGGTCATACACCTGATACCTTCAGTTCTTCTCTTATTTCTGCACCTGCCCTCATTAATTTTACTTTGCTTCTACTACTCCTTTTTCATGCCAACTTTTATGCTCATTAATGAATTTTTACTTTATACATTTGTTTCTCATGTCATCCAGATGTCAACAAAGCCTGATCTTCCCAAGCTCATTTTTGGTGCCTTAGTGTAACTATAGCTTAACATAACTATTGCTTAGCATAACCTGAAGTCCTATAGTCTGGGCAATGGAAACTGATAAAAAATAACCATTTTCCAACAGATACCACACAAGAAATAACTGTAATTATCTCCTACTGTAACTATAAAGGGAAGATAATATTGTGTATACTGTTTGTCATAGCTGTTACATAAGCATGTTAATGTTGAATATTAACTCAAAATGATTTAAAACAGATCCCATAACTTTCATACATTATTTTATATATCGGACAAACTGAAAGTGAGTTTTTACAAAAATGGCTAGGAACTACAACTAGCACCTTTAACCCAAGATACAGAGTTGTTTTTGTTTGTTTCTTTTAATTATTTGTATTACAGTATAACATGTACCTTGCAACTGAAATCCCATTGTACTATTTGTTAAACAAAAGATGGTCTCTGGCCCAAACTGCTCCCAAGTAACTAGATAGAAACGATTTGACCAATACTTGACACATGGAAAATACAAGGTGGAGTCAGGAATCAAACTTGTGTGTCTTGAATCATAGTTTAGTCTCTTAATCATAAGACCATCTTTCCCTCCTCTCTCCTTGTTTTTTTTAATCTAGAATTGTATGATAAAACCCAATAGTTAGATAGTAGAATTAAGTTATTAATGAACTGTATGCTCCTTTGAAGTTTAGTTCCTGCTAATCTATGACTTCCCAAAAGAATTGTAACATGACATGATACTTCTGCCATTTCTTGAATGAATTCTTCCTATTTTTTTGCTTATTTTCTCTGCAGATGGCTTCCCTAAATATTGGAAGAGCAGGTGCCTGTGTTGTAGTCATCAAGCAACCATGACTTTTGTCAGCGCTGCTTAGGATTTAATTGACTGTGAAATGCTTATTTTACTATCAGACAACAAGAATGATAACTACATGAGAACAAGGATTTACATAGTCAATAATCTGTTAATCACAAACTTGAAGAAGTTTGAAAACAGGGAAGATTAAGAATTTATGCCCTATCCAATCATTAGAAGATGTTCAGTCGATGAACAAGAAAAAACAGTTTGTAGTAGGAGCAAATGTAGTGGTAAGTCCAAACACTGTTCTCAAGAGTGTGAATTATAAAGCTGGATAATCAAAAGCATCAAGGGCCAGCTCTTCATAAGGAGCAGAAGGGAGTAAGAGAACAGCTTTCATGGCACCAAGAATTTTAACTACAGAACCATCACAGCACATTCAGTCACTTTTTAAAACCTTGGTATTAAAAGGAACAGTAGATTCCTGTTCAGTAGATGTGATGTTTTTCTGTCAAGGTATTATGTTCAAATCGGTTATGGGTTTCAAATTTAGATATGTGATTATACAAGGCAAGGACATTAATACTAGCTAAAGAAAAGAAGAAAGGTTGAAAGGTTAGTTCTCTTCCTCATCCATAGTGATTAAGTTGCTTCTCTGCAGTCTGAGGAGAAGCAAGAGAAAAATTAAACCAACATGATGATTGTTTCAATAATTGGGGACTGTCACTCCTTGTCTGTGATGCATCATGTTGCACTGATGTTATATCCTGAATGTTTGAGCAAAGTCTACACAGAGAGAACAACATACTTTTAGCCCTGCCTGGGTTTCATTGCAAAAATGGAAGTCAGTTTGAATGAATTTATCAATCCATAAATCTGTCTTATCTTGTATAAAACTGAAGCATGTTTGCTCTGGTCATATTATATTTTATGCATCTTCTGCATGTGGAAGCCCATGAAAAGCTGAAAGGCAGTTATTTTTGCTTCATTCCATTATATAATAAATTAAATATGACCAGGGTAAGGAATTATCTTTTTGGCCCAGTTTGATGCAGATGGACAAAAGGAATAGAAATGTCATGACATTTCCTTTTTCAAATTCCTACACAAAAACTGGTCCTTATTCCAGTTACACTTAATTTCCATTTTATTACTGAAAGTTATTGAAAGTACACGACAAGTGAGAAATGTATGCAAGTGGAGTAAGACAAAATTTCACCATCTTGATATAATAAATCCCATATAATAAATATACTAGAGCCTTGCATGCTTTTCTTTAGGGCAAGTCAAATACAGCAGTAACACTACATCAAGCCTTGACTCAGCAATGAAGTAGGTATCCGTATTTTCTAGTTAGTCATTTGAATTGGTTTAAAATCTAAACCACCTAATGGAATGGAAGAATCCGAGGGATTACAATATTCAAAGCAGCGTAGAAACTGGTGGGGATGAGCCTGTTTGGCAAAGAACAATCTTTTTTGTTTCTGAATCAATGCAGGTTTTCTAGGAAAAAAAGATTGTGTTTCAAATACAGGAGCCATGTCTTTCATAAGAGTTCAGAATAATTCTGAACTGGCTTGGGATAGCTACAGCTGAGGAGCTTTTCATTGCCTTTAAAGCCACTTACATTGCCAGTATGTATATTACATTATGCTCACTGATAGTTGGAAATGTGTCTCTTTAGCAGCAAGGAGCTGCAGCAGTTATGTCACCCTGCCATTAAGTGCCAAAACCCACCCCAAAGATACCAGTTTGCTGTCATGAGCAAACTTCCATAGCAAATCACTGGTGCTGGTTTAATTTTTTTCGCTCTTCTTTGCTAGTCAAAAGACAGTTGCAAAAGCAGTTCTTGAGTTAGGATTAGCTTCTCTTGTGGTCAGATCCAAGAAATCTTTAAGGTAGTGAAACAAAAAGAATCCTACAAAATAAATTTTGATAGGAATAAAGCTTCTTGGTTTTTTGAAATTGATCTACCAAAAAGTGTTGCATTAACCAGATGTTGCATTGGGTGTATATATATAAATGTATCTTTCCATCCATTTAAATATACATTCCCAAATATATATGGATTCCTAGAACTTTATGAATCAACTAACAAATATATACCAGCTTGTTATAACAAAGAGTTCTCTTTTGTTTTGATAGTCACTGGAATAAATGTCTCACTTGATAGGAGGACTGAGGTTTAACTGTGTAATCCTTACTTTTGTTATACTGAAATTTAACTTAATAGCAGGTCACTTCAGGGCCAGTACAGGACTTGTATCCAATTAAATCCTATTTTCAGGTGCATACATGGTATGCAGGGATCCTTGTTTTTCTCTGATAAAAAAAATCCCAAAGTTTTTACTTAAAAAAAATAACCCCAAATCCATATTTTTCCATGATTAAAACGAAACACCACTAATATATATAGTTTTTTCAATGATTAAAATGAATGACGTTTCATTATATATACATTAGTGGTGTTTCATTTTAATCACAGAAAAATGTGGATTTGGGGTTATTTTTTATGTCAGAAAATTTGGAATTTTTTTATCAAAGAAAACCAGGAACCCTAGTGGTGTGTAACCCTTGTGCTTACCTTTAACATAGGGTATACATTTAACCCAGAATAACTGGAGCTCCTTACTATTTCAGCTTTCTTTAGGTAGGTCAATTATTTTTGGATAACTTGTACAAATAATAAATCTATCTGAAATTAGAGGGTGGAAAAAGTGAACAACTGAAGTAATTACAGTGGTTTATTATGCAGATACTGCTTTAAAAAGGTTCCTCATTTTTGCTAACACTATGTATAATGCCATTAAAGGAAATAATATTTCCTATGTTCAAACTGGTTCACAGTCCACCTAAACAGTCCTTTCAAAGCCAAGTTCCAAAATAGCTAAATAAAATAAAGTTCATTAAAGACTAAACACTATTGAGTAAAAATTGTTTCAATTCAGAATCCACAATTTCTGTCAAGTGCTTTATAGCCAGCATAGAACTGAAATATGAATAGTATCTCTGCATCTAACCTCCAATAAAAGAAATTTCATACACTTAAACCAAACTGTTGAGTTAACTCTCTTGTGATCACTTTTATCCATGATTTCCTTATTCCTTTTGATAATTTCTCTCCTTTTACCACATTGGTTAACTATTCTGTAACCTAATACTAAACACACAATACAGTTCCCTTTCAACTGTGCTTATTTATCTTCTTTTTATTTCTACTTGTATACCTCTATATCCAATCTAGATAAAAGGCCAAGATTGACCTTCAGTTTCTGTATGCAGATAGATCTCAGAGATTTCAAGGATGTTGCATGCATTTATTTGAGAGAAAAGACAGTAGGTGGGATTTTCAAAAGCGTTCAGCAATGGCTTTTTGCTTTCATTACGTCAATGGGAGTTTTAGCTTTAAAAGGAACAGCTCTGAGTCAAATGGAATGCAACTGAAAATCTTATCACCAAGAGCTGTAATCCATAAATCTCCAAAGTAATAGCAATCCAGGACACACTGGATTCAATGGATTGGACTGGAATCATTTATGATAGTCTGTGTTGTGCCAGTGAGTTTCAGAGACCAGATCCTCCCTCCATCATGCATATTAAATAGTACCTTTCTTCCCAAGTTAATCTTCTTGGTATCATTACAGACTGAAGAGCCTTGGCAGAATCTGGCCAAGAACACACATACACTAAGTCAAATAAAATGAATTATTATCTGCCTACTTGGAAAAATTGTTATTTGTAAAATGAAATAAGTAGTCATGAAAAGGTATTTTATAATTGATTTCCATTCTCTCTCTCTTTCTCTTCTGCCTGCTAACTCATAACAATTCATTTTACTAACAAACATTTAACATATTGCCAATAAAGTTAATTTTACTGGGAATTTCTTATTTGCAATACCATTTCCCTGTCTTGGAGTTTCACTCAGCTGCCCATCACCACATCCACAGAGCCAGTCACATCATAGAAGGCAACCAGGTTGGTCAGGCATGATTTGCCCCTGGTGAATCCATGCTGACTGTTCCTAATCACCTTTTTCTTGCCAAGTGCTTAAAAATGGATTCCTTGAGGATCTGCTCCATGATTTTCCAGGGACTGAGGTGAGGCTGACTGGTCTGTAGTTCCCTGGTTCCTCCTTTTTCCTTTTATTAAATATGGGCACTATGTTTGGCCATTTCCAGTCATCTGGGATCTCTTCTGATTGACATGAGTTTTCAAAGATGATGGTCAACAGCTCTGCAATCACATCAGTCAACTTCCTCAGCACCCTCAGGAGCATCCCTTCTGGCCTCATGCACTTATATGCTTCCAACTTTTCTAGGTAGTCACAAACGTGTTCTTTTACAACTGAGGGCTTCTCACCTCCTCCCCAGACTATGCTGTCTGGTGCAATAGTCTGGGAGCTGACCTTGCTTGTGAAGACTAAAGCAAAAAAAGGCATTGAGCACTTCAGCCTTTTCTGCATCCTCTGTCACAGTGCTGCCTTCCCGATTCAGTAAGGGATCCACACTTTACCTGATTGTCTTCTTGCTACTGACATAGAAACCCTTCTTGTTACCCTTCACATCCCATGCTAGTTGCAACTTCATTTGTGCTTTGACCTTCTAGACTTTATCTCTGCATGCCCGAGCAATGCTTTTATTGTCTTTCCTAGTTATTTGTCCAAGTTTCCATGTCTTATAATCTTCCTTTTTGTGATTTAGTTTACTAAAGAGTTCCTGGCTAAGCCATGCTAGCCTTCTGCCATATTACTAGTCTTCCTGTGAATCAGGATGGTTTGTTCCTGCATTTTCACTAAGGCTTCTTTCAAATACAGCCAGCTCTCCTGGACTCCTCAACCCCACAGACTGGCTTCCCAAGGGATCCTGCCTCTGAGTTCCCTGAGCGTGTTAAAGTCTGCTTTTCTGAAGTCCAGGGCCCTTACTCTGCTGCTCTCCATCCTTTCTTTCCTCAGGATCCTGAACTCAATCATCTCGCTGCCAAAGTTGCCATTCACTACTACATTCCCCACAAATTCTTCCATTTGTGAGCAGCAGTTCTAGAAGAGCATGGCCACTAGTTGGCCGCTCCAGCACTTGCACAAGGAAGTTGTTCTGAAATCTCTCCAAAAGCTTCCTGGATTGCCTGTGCACTGTTGTATCATCCTCCCAGTAGATGTCAGGGTGACTGAAGTCTCCCAGGAGAACCAGAGCCTGTGATTGGGAAACTTCTGCTAGCTGTTTGAAGAAAACCTCACCTACCACTTCCTCTTGGTCTGGTAGTCTATCACAGCATCACGCTTGTTGCTCTCCCGTCTGACCCTAGACTTAACTAACTGAGTTTTCTGGAACATGGTATTTACTGTGCTCCTGCCAGCCTCTACAACTTGTGCCTCAGCATCCCTGTGCTTCAAGATGGCAGCAGGGGTGCTTTATCTGAAGCTCATTCAACAAGCTTTAGATAAAGCACCCCCCCATGCACACAACATATTGAAATGTGGGAGTGTTGAGACATGAGATGTTCCAGGTGCTTTAATTAGAGCACTTTAATTAGGGCTGCTCTAATTAAAGCCCCTCCCCCCCACACACACACTCCTGGAGCACATGTAAAAATGGCCCCAAGTTTCAATTTGTGCCTGTATAAAGTGCCACTGATTTTAGTGATCTGAGCCAGCACAAGACTCTCTGAACAAAAATCCCATTGTCAGATAAGGTCTATAATTTTTTCTTCACTATTCAATAGGTTACTGTGGCTCTACCAAATGCACTGTAGCTTATATTTGGCCCTGTTTATTTAAAAACTGCAACTAGACAATGTTTTATCAATTACATGTATAGAGATTTACAGGAAACACTAGGCCTAAATCCTACCATGCCTATAAGGTGCAAGTATCTCTAAAGCTAGAAATAGGGTTACTGTATGCCCCAGTATATATCCCTGAATGTTTCTCTTTCACTCTGTTCAGAATTGGTGAAATCACAGCTGGAGTACTGAGTCCAATACTGTGCACTGCATGTCAATAAGGATGTGGTAAAGCTTGAGAGAGTCCAGACTAGAGTCACCTGTATGATAAGAGACTTGCACTGCAAGCCATATAAGAAAATGCTGAGGGACCTGGGACATCTTCTGAGGTCCCTTCCAGTCTCACAGTTTATGAATTTATGAATTTGTCTGGGGCAGTCCCAGATTTCATCAGCTGGAATCAAGAGTGGATGTGTAGTGGCATGGTGCGTCAGCCAGGAAGCCAGGCAGAAACCACTGCTGCTGTGTAGGAGCAAGGATGTGACGCATGTGAGTGGTGTGGTGCCTGCTCCCATCTTCCCACCTTGCTCCCACACAGCAGTAGTGGTGCCTGACCACCCGCCTGCCTGGCACACTATGCTTCCCCATTTAACTATGCTTCCCCACTGGACTCCAGCCCAAGACTTTTGACCAACCATCCAGGACCGGTGTGTAGAAACAGGAATTGTCCCAGACAAATGAGGATGTATGGTCACTCTAGGTAGAAACACATATTACCTTTGCACCACCTTAAAAATGCTTATGGCAAAAAAAAGACTAAGCAAACAGATGTGCATGCCCATTGTCACAGCACATATGCTAAAAATTGTGTCTGCAACAATTTGTGCCACTTTTTTACAGTGGATGTCTGTTTGGTTTTGGGGGTGGAAAGGCACGAACAGCACAGAGCTGCCCATACTCTCCAGCCATGGTGGTCAGGTGTTCCTGGAGCTTCAGGTGCCCAATCCTGTGCATACTGGAATTGGGCCTCTGAAGTCCCGGGAGCACCCACCCAGATTCCTCTGCTCTTACATGTATCTTGGGAATCAGCCAGCATGGGATTCCCTAGGTGCCCATATCACACTGCTGCACCACAATTCAGGGCATGCCTTTGCAAATGGGGTAACCTTGGGTTTTACTGCTTGCAGATGAATGCCCAGGAAATCTCCTGGCAGGAGATTTTTTAAGTGGTGTGTATTGTTCTGGTACACTCTAAATTGGATTGCATCTCTGCAAACAGGGAAACCCCAAGGAATCCCCATAAACCTTCTGGAGAATCCCTTTGGGGTTTCTGCATTTGCAGAGATGGACTGCAAGTGCTGTTCTGCAAGATTGGGCCTCTGCTGCTTCTGAAAGCAGCAGGCATCTGGCATCTTAGTACAGCTGATCCATTTCATTTGGCAATGTCTGCTTGTAATCTAAGTGTTCCTTTGGCATTTTTAGGCCTCTATGTCACTAAACTTTTATTTCTACTATTCTTCCCCTCAAAACTTCCTCCATTCCTTTTACGTACCTAAATTCCATAGGCTCCCAGTGAGATACCTTGTCTTAAA